ATAAAATAAATTACTTAATTATATTATAATACCTTATTATTAAGACTTTTAACTTATAGATTAAAGTAATATAATAAATATATATAGGAATAAATTTATTTATAATAAATTTCTTTTTACTTAGATAATTATTAGCCTAGGTAATTAGCTCTATATAAGGCTTAAAAAAAGGCTTTTATTAAAGCTTTTTAGGGTATTATATATAAAAAAAATAGCTATAAAATAATAATTAAAAGATTATATTAATAATCTTTAATTATAAGATTTTTTTTTATTTAGCTTCTTTTTAAATAATAATAATTATAATAATTAATTTAATTAAATTAAAATAAAGCTCTTTAAGTTAAAAAGCTTTTAATATAAGGTTAAATAAGATAAGATATTTAATTATCTTAAAGAGTTATTCCTTTCAGCTTTTAATAATATAATATTAAGCTAATTATATAATAAATAACTTATAATATTAATTCTTACTTAGAATATTATTAATATTTTATAATATATATAATAAAGTATATTAAAGAGATATTATTATAGCTATAAATTAGCTATAGAGCTAGAAGAGAAATATTAAGTTATAAGGGTAATTAATATTATAAATCTTAGAGGTTAATATTAGAGTTTAAATTTAAAAGTTTAGCGCTAATTAGTAATATTAAACTTAGCGGTAAAAGAAAATATAGGTTTAATTTATTAAACCTATTTAATTAAATATAAGATATATATATCTCGGCTTATATAAATAAGTAATAATAATAATCTTAATAATAGTTTTAATAATATATAATAATAATTATATCTTATAAAAAAGGCTATATATCTTAAAGAAAGAGCTAAAAAATAAAAAATATTAATTCTTATATTTAATAATATTATTATAAATATATAATTCTTTAATTTTAATTACTTAATTAATTATAATTCTTAGTATTATATTTAAAGATATAATATTAAGAGATTATAACTTAAAAAAATAAAAAATAAATAATTCTTTTATTTCTTATATAGAGATTAAAATAGCTAAAATACCTATAAGAAGTTAGACTTTTATAATAATATAGCTAAATATAACTCTTTTCTTATTATAGAAATTTAATTGACCTATTATATTAATATTAGGTTATAATATTATAATATATTTAAGATCTATTCTTTATTATAGTTATAGCCTAACCCTTAATAGGTTAACTAAGCCCGAAGATTATTAAGAAGGCAACTAATATAATAACCCACTAGAAAACCAAGACCTAGTCAAGCTCTTAAACAATATAGAAGCCCCAGCCGTACAGTAAGTTCCGAGAGTGATGGACAGAGCTTATGCAACGTAGCTCGCTATGCAGCTTTTTGGGGACCATCTCCGCAGCCGTGCTAGTATGGTCTCCTGGGTGTTCAAACATGTGCATAAAATGGCCTGGAAGGATAGGAACGTCTCCATACTCTGGAGGGCATGAGTCGTAGAGACATTCTTCGCTCCTGACCTCTTTGACTGATGGGATAGAGTGGACTTCGTAGTGGGTGATGCACTCCTTGGATTACTTGAGATATTGCAGTCGAAACTATGGAGCGACAGTCAAACCTCTCAATACTTTTCCACTACCCACACCAGTGTGAATAATGGTACCTTGATGTAATACATAGTTTTTGGTCTCACAAAATGTGAGTACCAATTCCTCTTGCGTAGGTCACTAGAAAACCCCCTAACTTGTCGAAAACCTCCTTGTCATCATCCATATCTGTAACATCGACATTGGCCAGTTTTTTTCAATCGGATTCCCGTATGCACACATAGTAGCATGTACATTTTTGTTCCCCGTGGGAAATAGGGGCGGCGGGCACTATGCTCATCTTCGAGAGTGGCAGGTTCTTCGTCAGGGGAGTCTAGTGATGGCATGGTACCCTGGGATGAGCCAGTTCCGGTGCTCAAGCTACCAGAGTGAGAATCATCGTCTGAGGTCCAAGGTGTCACCGAGATGGTGTTGACGTTTGCTGGACCACTTGCATGTTAAGCGAATGCCAAAGCGGCGGCCTGGCGCTTTCGATATACTTCCATTCGCAGCCGTCTCCCACAACGCTTTTATAGTTAGTTTGGTATGCGCCTTAAGTCATGTTTTATGGTAGGGGGGCACACACATGTCCAAGATACTCGCACGTATCCAGGCAAAACTTTTGGTTGCACATAGTCACCCATGATCTTTCGAAACTCGCCCAGGATCTGACCGATTGCGAGGAGCCAGGTGAAAGCAGTACTCGTCTGACTCTCCTTGTCCGTTTGAAGCAGTGTCTTGTCTTCAGAGCACTCCTTCTTGGCCCTATGGCGCCCACATCCCCAGGGGTTCTTAGGAGACTTCATGTAGTAGTAAGGATTAGCGTCTTCGTTAGCGGGCTTGCCGTATATCTATTTGACAAAACAATACTCGTACTTGCCGCCCATCCACTCCTTCAGGTGGCTGTGCAGCTGGCAACGTGTGATGCCACATCTTCAGCAGAACACTGGGGCCGCAACTCGCATCTACTCTATAGGGCCCGCCTCCTGGATATTTTTCTGTCTGGCATGACCTCGCCAAGCTCATTCAATATCATTAGGTGCTAAGTAGTGGACAGAAAAGGGAACCGCTCCATGCAGTCGCCGATGCATATCATAAAAGCTTCTGTTTGTGAGGCCAAGACACGTACTATCGATAGGGTCAAGGAAGTCTAAGATAGCGTAATGAATCTCTGAGGGAAGGTCGAGCAGGGTGTAGTCTTTAGGAGGCTGCAATTGGGGTTGAGTTTGAGGTATAGGCTCATTGTCCATCACAGCGTATGTGCGACGGGGAAGAGGCAAGTTTGGTCGCCGATGAGCGTATGGCCGTTCCTGATCTGTAGCTTCATGCTCTTGATGCTTCTGGCACTCAACCGTAACAAAAGGGGCACCTTCAGGGACAGGAGATCCTGTTTTTGCTTGAGGGGAGCTGTGCCCAGAATGAGAGACATGGTCGCCTTGATAATCGGACATGGACCACCCTCGCCTAGGAGCTCTCTTCAATCCTCTCTTCAGGCTCAGATTCCGCATGTATTGCGCATGGTCCTCCCTACTCATCGGTGAGTCATTCTCCATGGTCGTCTGTGAGGTCGGTGGCGATTTGGTTCGTGTGAGCCACTGCTCAGGTTGTGTGTCAAGCTCCATCTCGGCAATGCTTAAACCAAATTCCGAATGCAATGGGAAGTTCACGTACGTCGCTCAGTGATAAGATTTGGCAAACGATCGGGTGAAAATCGAGATGCACAAGGCGGCGGGAAAGAACAAGCCAGTGTCCAAAGGGGCGTGTATGTTGCGAGTAATGATTTTGTAGAAATCGCGGACACCAGCACTTCCTTCTTACTCGACCCAAATAGTAACACGTGAACGATATGAAGGCATGGCACTAATAGATGTGAGCTTCAAAGAACGATGTCTTAGCACGCAGATCAATGTCTCGTCAACATACATGTCGTGGGGAATAGAAGATGTCATTCGATCACTCACCGCCGCTTGGACCCCCTCAAGGACACAGCCAGGCATCAAAGGGTATTATTGTGTAGTCCTACCCCAGGTTTGGCATTATAGTAATACTGTACCTACTATATGGTAATACTATACAATATGGTAACACTATGCAATATAGTAGCACTATAACATATGGTAATACTATATCCTATGGTAGTACTATGGCCTATGGCGATTTATATTATATTATAATACTATAGTCTATAATAATACCATAGTCGTGGCACTATGACTTAGTTAAAGAAATATCCTAGTATTTGCTAATAATAACTCGCCTCGCCCCTGCCTATAACGCAGTTAAACCGGCGACTGCTGCTAAGGGTGGTATATAGTACAGTCTCCATATATCTCATAGGGTAAATATCTTAGGTAAGGTAGCGCCAGAACGAGCATAAAAGAGTTAAGACTAATAGGAAGAGTCTAGAAGCAAAGCTCTATTATATTTACTAGAAAGAAGAAAGCAAAGCCCCTACTAGTTGGGTTTCCTTACGCCTAGGAAGGTTAAACAGCATTGTGCTCATGGTCAGCTATCTCCCGAATTCACCTTGGGTCTCTTCTCATTTCCGCCAGTTCTTAACTATCACGGCCTTGAACAGGGATATATCTTATGCTCGATAGGTGGCCGATCCAGGCCCATCACATCGTTAGGAGCCCAAGACGTCTCAGCACTAGAATGCCAATTTAGGGCCATTGCAGGAGATAATGGAAGAAAAGGTCAAGACTCCTCCCTGTAGTCCGGTGCACACTTATCTGTCATCTTGCACTATTCACGTTCACTCACTTCACCTCGCCTTACCTCGCATCTGTTCAGGCGCATGAGGACTAAATTGGTCGCCCTCTCACCCTTAGATAGGCCATCACGTCTAAAACGCCCATTACCTCATGGGAGTGGCGTGTGAGCTCTAAACCGAGATGAAAAGACTCAGGAGGAGGACAAGTAGTATAATGAAGGGGGAAACGAGGTCTAAGCAAGGGAAATACCGGGTGACAAGGGCGACCATCAAGGACGACTGGAACGAAGACCGTGAAAAGGAGCAAAGAAAGCTGACATGGTATGAAACACTGCCTTCAGTGTCAAAGTACTTGTTTATTGTTTATGTTACATCTCGTGCCCCGCGCACAATACTTCAGTAATGGAATAAAAACACATGTTTCTCCACATCCATGATATTAGATCAAAGCCAACATAATTGCCCTATTCAAATGTTCATTCGGAGTAGTTCGTTTGAGCCGAGCTTTCATTTTATGCTGTAAGCCTCTTCGTGCTTCTCTCCCTCACGGGTCGTCAACCATCATCTCTTTTCATAGATAGATACAAGAAATACAATCTGAATTTGTCATAGTGTTGCACTTTCTCCTCGAGATTTATAAAGTGCGATGATTATTGCTTTCTTAACGGAAACATAGAGCAAAGCTAGCAGGTAAGCAGATTCTAGGTCGTCAGCTAGTTGCTCATTTTGTAAGAAGTCAAAATTGACTTGCATTGATGCGCTCCATATTCCTGGATCAAGGCTTGCCTGGATCAAGTTGCACGGCCCTGCATTTGATCTCTTTCAACTTGCCTTAATTCGCTATCTCGATTGGATAACTTGGCCAGAAGGTCAACCAAAGTCTCAGTGTTGAGAAGCATCAGGTCGGTGCGCTTCCTGGGGACGATGCCACCGCGGTCACTTAGGTTATGAAGCTTGCCTGGTAGTCTAACGGTGGCTCTCAGAGCCATGGTATTAATCCGGCCGGCTTCAGCCATATCGGCCAACTCGTCTTGGGCTTTCTTTCCCTTTGACCTATTGAACAAGTCCGGAACAACGCCGACAGAATCGTGCTCACAATAACGGATACCGATAGCGTAAAGCCGTTTAACAGTAAGCACCGAGCACCTCGGTTAGTCTGGCCGTGCCCTGCAAGTACTCGTGCGTGACCCGGCTCACTGCCACTTCCTAGCAGACGGTAAGGGATTGGATGCGGGATGCTGGATTGCCGATGATTTCATCTAGCTGATCAACTTGTGTGAGTATCGAGTCTGTAGGCATGGTCAGGGAGCCTTCCAGCTTTAATTGGACGGCTTGCTTGTATAGGATGGGTGAACTGCCATGGAAAGTGGCCGGGAAGTGGCTGGGATCCCGTTGGAGTGGGAGACCTCGACGGTGGCGGACATCATCTCGACCGTCGGGCTATTCAACTCTCTGAGGATCCTCATAAAGTCCAATCCACTATCTATACCCCACTGGACAAGCTGGTGGGCATGAGACACGCTGGGTGGGAACACGTATCGACTCATCAATCGAGGGCGCCCGAAAACAGTCGCTATTGGAAGCAATCAGGGGAACTCCCGGTGTGATTATATCGATGAGACCGATCTGTGCCTTGAAGATGCCGCACGCGTTGAAATTGAGGTAGTCGAGGTTGAACGAGAGCTCGGTGCCGTATCTGCTGAGATCTTCCGCATGATCTTGCGGTTGGATGTGGGCAAGGCTCTCGACGAGGCTGACCATGGGAAAGCGTCCTTTATGGTCAATCACCTCTACCGGCCACGGGGCATCAGATGCAATGACGAGATGACTCGCTGCACGAACTTTGTGTCAAAGATGGTGACGTTTATGAAAAGAGTCTTCTGGTCGACGGCTTCGGAACAGGGGTAAGCCTGGCAGGGCGGTCCTTTTGATGAGTTGAGGGAAGAATAGGATTCTAAATGTTGTAATACTCTTAGCTGGCCATCTGTATTAGTTATGTTTGATGTACTGATGTGTGAACACGCATGCAACCACAGGAGTGAGGCAGTGTTGGAGATGACGACTATCAAACTTTGGAGCCTTGGACCTAGTGTCAGTTGTCGGTTCAAACAGCTGCCGGTATACTAGATGAAGTTTTCCTTGTTAGCTAGCACTCGACGAGTTCATCGAATAGTCCTCAAACATGTAGTAGACCCCTGATCGGTGTAAGCAACTTTGGACTCGATCTGGCTGCGTATGTATTATCCACAAAAGGTATTAGGCTAGAATTCTGTCATCCCTCCATTTTCAGTGTTAAAGAATGGTCTAAATCGCTTATACTCAAGGTCAAGTCTACGAAGTTCCCAAACAGTCTCCAAAGGCGCAAGGCTGAGAATGCGATCGCGGTTCTTCTACAAGCCCTCCATTGTTTCTCATCAACGGGAAACCACTTTAATGCTTCAGAAATATACGGTGAGTGATATCTGTATGTGGTTTCTACCCACTGTGACACTCCCGTATTTGAGTCGAAGTCATGAACATGATGATTGATGACAGAAAGGAAGACTCGGCGTTTCTGAGTAGACCAGAGCGCTTCTCCTTTATATCAAGTAGAGACAATAGGTCTTGATGTGACATCTTTGGAAGCTAGAAGAATAATTACGGCAGTGCTTATACTAAAAAGGCATTTGTCACACCCGAAACGAAGAACGAGACTAAAATTTGCAACAGAGAGCGCAAGTCATACGTGCACCGCCAGCGGTGTAGATAGAAGCTGATGACGAAGCCCACAGTCCACAGCGCTAAATGGAAGGCCTCGAAGACCTTGCATTGAGCATTAAGCGGCTTGGGTTATTTTCATTGGATCAACGGCCCTGATTCCGCTGAAACGATGGCATTGGTTGCGCTTACGAGGGGTCTCGTCGTTGAGCGTGGCATACCCACCCGTTGCTAGATCACTATCTGGGGCACTGGCAGAATCAATGAGGGCGCGTTAAGAGCTTATCGCGCTTCTGGTTGACGAAGGAAGATGCCACCCGTAATTGCTGTAGATCCTTGCGAAAAGCCTAACGACACTACTCTCACAGCCAAAAATGTGTCTCACTATGAGCCTCGTTATTAGCTTCTTATTTACACCGCCGGAGACCGCAGGGCCTGACCATAATGGAGTTCGTGGCCGGTGTCAGTGGCTGTGCTCTGCTGAAATGTGGCACCAAGCTAGGTACGATAAGATAACAACCATGTGGCGCCGAGAGCGTCTCGCGTCACCAGCAGCGTGCACATATTGCTCCTCCATCGACACATTGCGGACCGTGAAAGCACCACAACACGACGAAATCGATTCAGACCTCGATGAAGGGCTTATAGTACTAGAAGGTTACCGCCAGGGGTATCTGGAATACCGTCGCGATGAACTCGCCACCCGCCTCGGCCGAAAAGTCCCCCCTTCACCAGGAACTTCCCGACCAACACTTTGCCATATATCTTACCCAGGGCCTCGAAGAAGCGGTCAAAGAACGAGACGAAGCGACTCCCGAACCCAAATTCGGAAACGATGAGCTCGAGGAGAACCATCAGTATTCCTGCGAGCAATTACACAAGCATTTTCGCCCCCAGCAACTTGAACGATATCGATCGCGTGTCGACGAACCTGAATACTGGGAGCGTGAAGCCAGACACTACAAGGATGCAGTGATTGAAAAGCTTTGGAACACGGCTCTAGAGCAGTCCGCACCAGGTGCTGCCACTCCCACAACAGCAGAGGGTTGGCAGGACATGGTTGGCTTTTACCAGGACATCCTACGAAATCTCGGCTCGTCTACCAAAGAGATAACCCGTCTTCGACTCTCCATTGACTCGCAAGACTACTGGAAGACTGAAGAAGAGCTGCTTGAGCCTCTGTCCAAGTTACAAGAATACCAATTGATGGAGCGATGGAAGAACGAAGCGGAACGAAAGAAACGTCGATTGAACAAGAGAGCGCCCGCACCCCGCCCGATCAAGCTCGACACCACGCAAGCTTCACCGAATGATCCAGTATCGGCTCGGACGAGGTCTAAAAGCAGAGGCACAACGCAGGCCGGCGTGTCGAAACGCAAGTTGCGGAGCAGCAGGAGACCCGGCGCTAAACCGTCATGACAGAGAGCGGCGCGTCAGCATCACTTCTAATTGGTCATATCCCCGCTCGTCTTTTGTCAACTTGGGCGCACTCGAGCTGAAGCTTTCAACTGGCGTCATATTCAGATTGACGATTTCCCCCCGTCTTGCGCCATTGAAATCCTGCTGTCGCCATGGACGGAACCCAGACTCCCAATCTCGCAGACGTTGTCTTGTTTCTTGGGTACTTTACTGGCGTCGACGACATTATCTCCCTCTCAGACAACAAGAGATACCACTTCATCCCCCCCAAAAATGGCACGCGATGGAAAGGAGACAAGCCCAAAGAAGAATGTATTGGCGACATACTCTGCCTGACATTTGGAGAGCATCTCTTCTCCCCGGAAGGCTGGGTAATGGGCTCATCCCCAGACTCTGACGTCTGTGACGTACAGCTTGCCAAGGACAACCAGACGGGCATCAGTAGACGGCATTTTCGCATTGACACGGACCCAAAAACTCGCCTCCCCAGGCTCGCCGTCTTATCCGCGACGAGCACTATCCGCCTCGTATATGACGGTCGTCAAGTCTCTCTCGTGCGAGGAAAGTCGATAGAAATATCCCGCATGGTCACCTTTGATCTTGGGGCTGTCAGCTTCCGAGCATGGCGCCCAGAGCTGACGACTGCTGAAGAAAGAAGATACAATAAAAAGGCACTGAACTGGAGCAAGGAAGTTGTTGCCGCTGTACCAAGGTATTTTCCTCCACTAAACAGCCAGCCTGAGACCGTCACCTCAAACATCCGTTATGGGAAAAACAACGCCGTGTATGTGAATGAGGGAGGCGTCGAAGCCAGAGGCATGACTGCTTCTGTGATGCGTGTCAAAGAACGGAAATCGGGTTCAGTCTTTGGTGCCAAGGAACCGTACTTTAAGGCCAGTGATGATTTCGGCAAGGTGAGAAGCCGCTGGGAGGACTTGAGGAGGGAGTTTGACAATGTTGTCAAACCAGACCATGTGAGTAACCTGCCCAGGTTGAGTCACTCAAGTCTGATCCTATTGTCCCCAGCCACACATTGTCAAGGCTGTTGAGCTGGTCATGGCTGAAGATGACAAGAATCCCCCATGGCTCATCATGGAGTACATTCCCCAGAGCCTATCACCAAAAGATCTTGACCAAAAGTCCATTCCTATCGTCTTGACCCATGTCAGTAGTGCATTGACCTACATGCACGCCAATCGCATCACACATCGTGATGTTAAACCAGACAACATTCTGATTCAGGACTCTGGATCGTTGGTTGCCAAACTGGCTGACTTTGGCACCGCAAGACACAACACACGTGAATACATGGACACCTTCACTGGGACCCGAATCTATTTGGCACCTGAATTTTTCAACCGGCCATTGCGATATACCAATAAAGTCGACCTGTTCTCCCTTGGCCTGGTTGCTTTGCAGTGTCTGACGAAGTGGGATCCCCAATCAGACAAAGCATGGGCCTCTGGACCTTTGGATCGCCATGAACACGAGCAGTGGATGCGCGATGTGGTCATTCCATGCGTTGCTGATGCGCCGTCCTCGTTCCAACCATGGCTGACTGGGATGCTGCGCAAACGACCAAGACAGAGATGGTCGGCTAACAAGTCTTTGAGTTACTTGTGGCAAACTGGAAATGGTCTTGCACAAGTCGAGCCGAGCCTCGGGGAAGACATGGGGAAAGCTGGCCCCTCCGAAGGAACCCATGCTCAAGCACGCGAACAGATTGCGTCCAAGAGGAAGAAACGGCCGGCCTCGACGTTGAGTGAAATCAGCTCTGGTCTTCGGCGGATTCGAGACCAACCAGCTCGACTCTCCCAAGCTAAATCTGCCAGCCCTCAACCTCAAGGTTCCTCGTTTGCAATGTCGTCATCACCCTACTCGGCTCCCACGCCACGTGATGATAATGAAAGTTTTGATGAATCTGATGAACCTGATGAGTCTGCGTACGAACATGACACGAATCTTCAGGACGACTGGAGAGAAAGTGATGATGAGCCTGAGGATTTCACTTGAATGTCTTGCATGTCGACTAAATCATCAGTCCCAGGAAGAAGTGGGCATTCTATTCTTCTCCTGTGATGGATATTATCATGTATGCTCGTGCTATGAATGCAATGGATCTCTGGCACAAGGATCGATACTTGTTTCGGCCGAAGTCTCCAACGGAGAAGTTAACCCTAACCCTCCCTAGGCTGACCTTATCGGCGCTGCCCTCGTGCAGTCTCTAAGTCTGCATTCAACGCAGCTATATGCTCCTATAAGTAGAAACTTAGCTGGGGTCCTCAGTGTGTACCAGAATTCTAGACTGAAAAGAAGAAGGGAAGGGTTACTCCGCCACCGGCCGAACATAACAGGGTCGCGCATGCGGCGTGGCCTGGCGATCCGCGTCTTCATGTTGCGTGCTGCCTGATTACCACGAGTCACAGTCAGCGCCAGAAAATCCGAACGTGTATTGTCTCTGTCTATCTCTTTTCATCGACCTCATGCGCTCCCTCATCATCAGTGCACCTTACACCATATCGAGTTCGCAGCCGCAGCTGAGCAGGTCATCAGCGGCAACATCCGCACGAGCAACCTTGCAATGTCCCGCATGGAAAACGAGAAGGCTCGGTCTCTGACGTTCCGGCCGTTGTCTTTGGCAGCTCTGGCAGCAAGACTATTCCTCTGGGCTCGGCCGCGGCCCTCTTTCATAGTCACGAGCTTAGTTCTCTAGCTTATCATTCTTTGTTTGGCATATTTAAAGCCGATTTTCCCTGGAAATTCCGATTTTCCCATCCCCGCTGTAGGGATGTCCTAAACATCCCGTTTTCTCCGTTCGAGTTTTTTTTCCCGCTAGTCTCACGCCTCAGACTCAGACGACAAAAAGAAGAGGTGGTTTCTCCGTAGAAAGTTTTATGAGGGATTATAGTTGAAAAGTATACAAGATAAGGTTTGTTATAGTGTATGCTCTCTAAATTGAGGGGGTTTTCCTTTACCTCGTCACCTTGTCTTTCGCAGGCTTAATACATATTTCGGCCAGCAAAACTATGCTCCCCGCCTCGATCTGTCACTTGAACGGGGCCATCACACTCGGTCTATAGAAATGACCAATCTTAGACGGCTCATAAAAGTCCTCTATCTGCGCTTCTCAGCATCGCTTTCTAGCCTAGGCAATAGGTTTCTAACCATGCTCCTCTCTGATCAAGTGGCAGAACAGAAGCTGATAGCTCTTCCGCGATGCCTCAAGGTTAGTCAATCGAGGCCACTATGCGCTATTTTATGGTATGCTTCGTGACCTTGCCCAAATCTGTATAGGGCACTGCTCCTTGCTTCATGCTGCTGCAAAAGCGGATTACTCCAGTGATAATTCGCTTACCTCAGTTGTCAAATTGTGGCCAGCAAAAGGCCGTTTTTTTCAATCAAAATTTCCCGAGTCTTGTCCAACCTAGGGAACACTTGCACACTAAAAGCCGTTTTCTCCGTGAAAGATCTTATACCAAGATCAACAATATTTATCGGCGAATACGTCAAGCCTCTTTTTCTTGAAGAGTTGGTTTGCTATCGAAGCCATATTAAACATAGCTCTTCATTCTGTTGCTGCAGGTCTTGGTATGGTGTGTACGTGTATCTCTGGCCAAACTCGAACAGATGACATAGTAGCTTGTGCCATGTCTAATGATTGCAATTGAATGCCAGTAATGTGTTTCTATTTCCTTTCGGGGCCACTATATGTCCTGTATATCAACTAGAGAGAGAATAAGATAGACAGTGTGCAAAAGATGCGTTAAACCCAAGAGCCAAGCGCAGACTTTAAGGTGTATGGCTACTGCTCCCCAGTACAACCAGGAGGACTGCTTCTGTCGATATGGGGCCAGAATCCGTACCAAAGGAACCAAGTCTGTAGCTTAGCTCATCCCTGTGCATCGGTGCCGGGGCACAATGAGCCGTCGAAGCTGCTCCCGACCGGACGCAGCGCATCCTCGATGGCTTGACATCCGCCCGTCCTCTTTTCCAAGGTCCTTTACCTAATTCTCCGGATCTTTTACTCACTCGCTGGCTGCCGCATTGTATCCGGTTAAGTCAGTGTTTGTCCGCACCGGCGTTGCACTTGGTCGGCGCAACTTCTCATGGATCGACATGACCCGCATGGGCCATTCTGTCGACCTTGTCAAGTCAGTCAGTACATCGGATCAACAGGTATGGAAGGCGAAGGTACACCTCTTCAGCGAGTGGATTTCTGACTCACTCTAGCATAGCGGCCTGGACCGCCTTGCCCGACTCCTCGAGCCCCTTTGTTCACATCTGGAGCACGCCAGTCAGCCGGATCAGAACGTCTCGCAATAAGAATTTCGGCGCTTGCTGGGTACTTAGTTGCAAGGTTTGACTTTGGTAACATAAACTCTGCATTTGGTCAGAACCTTGGGTCTCTTGCCATCCAAAGACTCATTCTTATCGCCCCTTTCGGCCGCCTTGTCGCCTGGTAAGTAATTGGTGGAGCAGGGTACAGATACTATCTCAACATTCCTTTGAGGTATAATAGAGATAGCCTTCCTATCATCAACGGTCTCAAGAACGCCGTGAGAGCAAGGTATTCCCTACTATTCATCAAGAGACCGCCGTTGTCACTGTTTTAGTTATGATGAACATAATGACGAAATTTTGTATGAAAGGATACTCACTGAGTCAGCACAGCCATCCGGCAAGATATCTTTAGAGAGTAGGGAGTCCCCTTGCTCACCTGGAGCAGAGCCGCGGCTTTACTTCCATCTTGTGAGTGTGTGGTGTAGGGTATGGGTAGCAGAGAAAGGTGCTCGCAAGAGTTTCGGTCGATATGACGAGAATAATATGGAATCCTGGCAAATGATTGGGGAAGAATCTTCATACTTAGTTATGCTCTTGCTGTCTGTGTAGTCTATTCAAGGTGGGCTGCCAAGAACTTGCCGTCTCGCAAACGGTGTTGGTTGCTTGCCATGCTGGCGGTGGGCTCGAGATTGACGGGCCTACAGGGCAGCAATGGAATAATACAACTAGACTTGCTCAGGGCTCTCAGTGACAACCGGAACAAGCCCAGGGCCGATAATAGCATCATGTCAACCGCCACAATCGCATTCTCAGAACACGTGAGGCTACGGATGGGAGAAGCTAGGAGAAGGAGCATGGCCAAGTGATCCGTCCAACCAGTCCAGATGAGGCAAGGTTTGAGGAATTTCCAAGCTTGATACACGGGTCAAGACTCAGATCTATGAGATTCAGTTGATCCAGCTGAGTTGAGGGGCGTTCACATAAAAATAAGAGAGACAACTACCCCCAGGCATGAGTTTCTATTAACTAGGTACAAGACTCACTTATATCGGGCTGTTATCGGGGAGGCCCTCCATGTTGCTTGTTATGACTTCGGTCCGTAACAAATTTCAAGTTTTATCCACAAGTTTTATTTCTGAGCTCCAAGTCATTGACCTCGCAAGGTGTCGGGTACATTACGCGACGCGTCATTACACGACACCGACGCGTTCATCGGGTATATTTCGGTTAACTGTTGGGCAGCCTGTTCCCGAAGGGAATTTCATAAACCCAAAGAAAAGCAAGTGCATAATCTGTGCATCAACATCCCCCTTTTGTCTTAGGATAATTCCGCCATGACCAGGGTCTTAATCATTAAACTGACGTTGCGCTTTGTGCAGACAAGAGCCCGCACTAACAGTAACAAGCAGCAAATGCTTGACTGTCCTCTGGGCACTGTTCCAACCGTGGAGCAGCACGGGTGGTAGATCAAAGCCAAGCATTCTATATTTGATTGGGCAATGCCGTTTTCCCGGAGAGAGTCGATGCATCTTTTTCACTGGAACTGGAGCCGCACCTCTTCCTTGACTGTCAAGACCTTGTATCATGCTCCATGCTGCGTGCCTATGATGGTTGGCTCAAAAGGTGGTCAAGCACTTTAACATTTGGGGTCACGATAACTCACGACGCCATGTGTCCACCCCGAGACCCTTCTCATGCCAAATCCCGATTTTTAATAGAGTTTTTTTTTTTGGCAGATAGAGGCCTTCACTTAAGATCATTTCCAGCACGCATGCCTACCACATGTCTTGACATCTAATAATCCCGGGTTTTGCGAACATGATTTCTGACGGAGCAACCACCTCCCATAGCTCTGTAGGGTAGCCCACAAAGATCCCGTATTTTCCGACAAGAATATCCCAACCAAGCCAAATTCTTTACACATGCGGTTCTCGGCCTGAAATTCCCTCTTTCCAGTGCAAATTTTATACCTTTGAAACAGAAACGAGGACAAGACGAAGATTAAAGGCTAATTCACACTCTTAGCGATTTCTTGCGTCTACAATCATCTCAGTGGTGGAACTCTCAAGTCAAATCATGCATCATGGAATAGAAAGGTGATTAGCTGTCCGAGCGTCATTAAGAAGTCTAAGTATATTACGCTTTTTGAATTCCTGTTTGTCTTTGAAAGGAGTGTTTAGACATTGGGGAGGTTAATATAGGTCCGTGTCTAGTTTTCTGCATGCACTGTCATTTGCCAGACCACCCACACGGCTTGCGCTCATTTCAAGTTCAATCGTCTTTTTGATGAATTGAAAGTTGAGTTAACAAGGCATTCGGAAGTTTGAATTGAACTCATTGAATTGACTTGGTGGCGGTTAGGGGGGTCATGGGCGTCCTCGAGAACTCACTTTTGTCTGCCCCCAGAAACTATCACTGGAGGTATCACCAAATTTATCTCTCGGATAGAAATAATTCAACTAATCCGCCATATGTGATTGAGCCTTTAAATCCAAGATATACTGGATTGAATTGGTTTGGTCTGGTTGCGATTCAATCGAGCGCAGCCCCGTCTCGCAGCTTGGCCCCTTTTGACACAGAGCCAAACCCGCCAGCACCGGCCAGAACGTTCTGTCACACACGTTCATCTGGCTCAGTTAGCCCACCAGGGGCTCGGGTTCAACTATTCTGTCATACACACTTCGTGTAAACTGGTCTAGAATGGCCATGATAGCCCCGATGAATGGTTCATGGCTTACGTGAGAGTCCTTGAGGATGTCCCCTGTCTGGTTGGCTGCGACAAGCCAGGTGGACTAAGCCAGACAGACGACGACGACGCATGGTGACTATAATGTTTGAGGTCTTTGATTTCGGTACTTGCCAAAGTTTAGAAGCTCGGAGGTTCTGTCATGCCAGCGTTCGTCTCGATCATGAAATTAGACGGTGCGGATGCACCCGATATAGACTGACGGGTGGCTAGTATTTGCTATTACTTCGAGACAGGAGACTTTCCCTCATGGATAGTGCTATGGAGGGCAAGTCTACCGAGACTTTCTAGAGCTAACTGATCCCAATGCCGACAAGAATGAAGGCGAGCAAGAGCGCAACAAAAGACGTACATCTGCCATGATGCTGTCAATCTGTTCTTTATTGTAGTTGTAGCCCGGCCCTCGATGGGTTAACTGAGCCCGAATATCACCGTGATGTTGTCTTGCGGGTGACTTGAACAAGGTAAGAGTTAGATACTGTGTGAGAAGTCATGGTTGATTGTTTTCTCTCTGGATGCCATATCTCCATCACATAATCATTCTTCGTGCCCTCTTTCTTAAGGTGATTGTTTGCTGTCGTCTTCCCTACATAACCCTAGAGCATGTTTGGGCAGTTTGCATCGAGGGTTGAATCTCTACTAGTCTTGGCACCAAAAGTCAAATTGTCGTTTAGTAGGGCTGACGTCAGGAGAATTTATCCCATGTTGCCATCAATGCATGTTCTGACGGCGAATTTGTATGGTGTCAACGGGATGGCCTGCCGTCGTGCAAACGATCCTCCTCAACGCGAACATTCCCAGAGCCCAGCCTGTAGCCAAAGCCAACGCGAATGGCCGGCCACTCCAATGTCAACACAGGCATTCGTCCGATGTAAAAACACCATATTGTGCCCAGATGTCTGTAAAAAACTCTCTTTCCCTAGCAAGCATCTGCAGGTGTATGAGATAAGCATCCATGGCCAACCATCAAGAGCCGAAGAGGCTCTCCAGACAGGCCCAGGAAACTGTAAAACAGCTCCGATAAGCTAGAAAAGCGCCAGCAGTCATACAGACCGAATGACGAGGGGGAAGAGGGCACAAAGGCAGTTGACGCCCTACACCGGCAACAGGCAGTCTTTCTAAACTATTGATGAAAAACAAAACATGTTGGATGGTAGTAGCCAAAGAAAGTCAACCTACTTTGATATGGCTCTAGCTAATCGTATGAGGCCGCAGTAAGCCAAACCACCAGTTCACAGCGGCAGCGAACGGCCGTCGGACCTTTCTACTGGAAACTGGCTTTGTCAATACGACTCTCCCCGCTTTCATGGCCAGAATAATCATCTACCCGCTCCCGACCACGTCGCTGTCGAGGATTCATCACAGCATCTAGAAATACATAGTTTGTCGCCGCATTCCTGTTCCCAACTTGAACAGTCTTCCTCCTGAAAGCGGTCAAAACGATGGCCCTCCTCAGCCGCCACGCCCTCCGGTCCGGACGACTCATCTTTTGGCCGGACTAATTGCCGCGTTCTCCAACCTGGGAGTTGCTCAGTGTTTTTGCCGAACGTTATCTCTTATCTTGCGTAATAGCTATCTTCCATAGCATCTAAAATGCTCCCCGTCTACAGGAAGTCTCCTGCAGTACCTGTAATGGCTCCTTTCTGCAACTATTCATCCACATCTTGTAACTAGCCCCCCTAGTGGTCTGGTCTTCGCTGCTGCGGTTCTTCTGAGTGGGATGCTTGACCCCATTTTTTCCGTTATTATTTATTGCATGGTTGTAGGCTGCGTCACGTTTCATATCTGGGTTGTCCATGGGCTCCGTGTTGCCGTTCACAGAAGGCTGCCTGGACGATATTCTGAAGGCCCGGCCGAAGTGGTGGAAAAACAGTGCAATAAGATTACAACCCCTACTCTCTGTCTAAGTCATGGCTCTCACGCCTGTCATTTAGGTTGTGGAAAAGGACGTATCTTGTGCGATCTCTGCCCATTCCATCCGTGCCCACAAAAATCTAAGCCGTGCCTTGCCCAAGTGTTATAATCTTGATAATTATATTATCAGTACTATTGGCATATGCACTGGGCCTTGCGCCCGATATATTCAGTTCTGGAGCTGCCGATCAGGAGTGAAGATACATCACCGCTCCCGAGGCCTTTGATTGAGCCCAGCCCTTATCGGGACATCCTTGGAGCCTTATGAACACTGATGGGATAGGATAAAGGCTAGGAACTCTAAGGCTCTCGATACTATCACCAACGAGGCTACTACTCTTATTCTCAGACACCTCTACCTACTTACCTACTACTTCTCGCTCTCTGCGCTAGTGTTGAATTAAACGAAGCGCGTAGCATCATCGCTCGGGTGGACTGGCTCCGAAGAGGGCCCTGTTCAGCAGCTCTCTGCAAGGCGAGCGACCTTGACTAGGTCTAGAGCGAGGTGAAAAAAGCTGAGCCCAGATCTGGGATAGGGTATAGCCGTAGCCGCAGCCTCTCGACGTCTTGGAGAAGGCAGTCTCCGAGTGATAGGGAGACATTAGCCAGCTCACCAAGAGGTGACACGTTAATGAACGTTGATACCGTCCAGGTCCCGGGCCCAGGCGATCCAGGTACAGCTATGTCACCTCAACGACGCCCGCTGCCGGGGAAAATGCGGGTGCTAGGGTAAGGGGTATCCAAGAGAGGGACCATAAGGAATCATTGCATTGAACTGCCGTGTTCTAATGAATAACAAGAACAACTCGAGACTGCTCATCTGAGCGGTTACATTGGGGAAGCGCGCAGGAGACACATCTATCTGCTCCCTGAGCTCTTCTCAGTCTCTGTCTGCTTAACCGCCTCCGTTGTTCCACCTAACGCACTGAATGCGACGACCGTCATCACCTCTTCTGTCAAGGTTCACGCAGGGGTGACTCTCATCGTTGTTCCAACTTCCCAGCAAGTCGCCAGTGCAAGAACCGCCGTTTCCAGTCTTTCCTCCGTAGTAGAACCACGGTCCAGATGCGAAGTAGACGGAATGGCTAGTATCGTCCATAGTGACATCAACGTTGAAGTTGCTCTCATGCTCGTAAGAAGCGGTTCCTTGGGCACTGCAAGGAAAAGGAAGCAGAGGTCAGCGCGTGGACGATACGAAAGCTGGAT